TCGATTAGTCTTGGTTGCTGCTTGGACTGAAGGGTTCTCGAAGCTTTGGCAAGCTTTGTCAAACTAGAATTTGGTGATAAGTTAAAAAAGGTCAGAATCATGCTATGCCATTTGGGAACTTTCACATCTATTTCGGATGTCCTTTCTCCTGCCACCTCCCAAGTGTCAGGATTTAGCTGATTACCTTGAATTGGCCTGGTCCATGAAACTTATGCAAGCAAGGAGAAAAGGCAGAGATAAAATGTGGAAGAAGTAATGGAGGATGGAAGGTGGAAAATTTGGGGGTTTTGATGAAGTCCAACCTTCTAGTCTCATGCTGTGGAAACAGGAAGATGGCAAAAACGTCTGAAGGAACTCCCTGTTCCACTCTGATAACAATTCGGAAGGCTTGTCTTGCTATATAGACTGTGAGAAGTCAAGCAGCCTAAAGGATACTGTAACCTGAATACTAGTCAACGACTGTGGTCTTTTTGACTTCAGTGCTAAGTTTGATTCCTGTTTTGGACAGGCTTTTGTTGCCACCAAGTCAGCCAAGTCATCCCATTAGACAGTGGTAGATTTTAGACAAAAGTCAGACTCCTGTGAGTTGTTTGTGTTGGCTTAATGCTAATTAGCAGTGATTAATCTGCAAAGATTAATGAAACTACCAAAAGTGTTCAACAATCATAGTTATTAAGAGGACTCATGTCAATGACTAATTACAGTGTCCTCTAAATGCCATATAAAAGACAATAAATGTTGCATGAGGAACAATCACTGATCTCCATGGTCAAGGATACATAAATGAAAAATGCATACTTGCAAACACTGCAGTGAACTGCAATTTTTTTTGCATCCAACATGAAGGATAAAGATGACTAGTAAATTCTAAAAAGAACCAAATCATCAGTGAATTCAATTGAATTGCACTGTGAATTAGCTTCATATAGATTACAAACCAAAATTTTCAGAGTCAGAGACAATAATTCTATTTTATAAAATCAGAGAACGAGAACTTAAAAATTATGTGTGTATATCCGAGTATCTTCTTTCGAGTATCATCCAAGAATTGGTCATCAAAGTATCAATTGTGGCTGCAATCAAAACATGGATGAACCGCCTCTCAGTTTACCAACAAACACATCCTTTGCCTCGTTGATCTTAGAAGCAAGGTAATGACTTCCTCCACTGTCGGGGTGATTTGCTACCATCGCTCTCCTGTGAGCCTCCTTGATCTTATCAAGTGGAGCATGCTCTCTAAAACAGACAAAATGATGATCGGATATCACAAAATGACACCATCTTAAATTTGATTCAACAATTGGGCAAGAGCTTATGACACAAATTTTACCTAACACCAAGGATCAATGCGGCTTCTCTTCTTGTCATCTGCTGCTCGAAACCACCAGGGTAAAACCTACGAACACGAGGAACAACAGGGCGAGCCTTAAATGCCTGCCATGCCTGAATCAAATATCTACCTCCCATTGCGGCTGCAGCCACAGATAGACTTGCAACAAGAGGAGTTGCCTGTAATAGTAAAATCATAGAAAAACAAGTAAAAGATCCATCTCAGGATCATGTTGCTAAATAGTTTATGGTAATTATGAAACCTGATCACAAACCAGATCCTCTCTCTACAAATCATAGGACAGTATAAATATAAACTAGCTTACTTCGAATTTGGAAAGAATCAATCAGGAATAATTTAAATGTGCACGATATTCTTTAATGCTCAAGACAAGCTTCTCCAATAGAGCTAATTAAAAGAATTCCTGTTTGGAGTTCTCAGAATTCAACAGAGGTATTGGCCTATGCATGGAGGTTGTTAGATTGTTTTGTTCCCAGTGACAAGATGGTTCCAACTATAAAAGTTTGGGGGTATCTTTGGCACCCAACCGTGGTTAATGTGTCTAACTCTAATTTATTTCAGGAGATTGCTTCTGAACTTTGAAACCATTTTAGAGAAATCTTTGATTTTCCACTATACCAAACCATTTAGTTTTTTGAAGGCTATACCATTAATTGCCTTTAAAATTTATTTCAGGAGATGTTGCATCTAAACTTTGAAGCCATTTCAGAAACATCCAGATTTTCAGGTATAGCAAAATCATTAAGCTATACAAGACTATTAAATTGGTTATCTTATAAACAAAAAAGCATCTGACCAATGTCTACTTAATGGTGTTTTGCAGGAAGAGAAACTGAAAGACTAAAGAAGACATGCTGCAGATGGCATTGGTTCTCTTAGTTCTCCATAAGGATATCGTCCAAAAATGCGTAATTCAAACTTCTCAAACAGTTGAAATGAACAGCAGAAAAGTGTTGTCTATATATTTTTGGGGCATTAAAGAGTAAACCAATAGTTGAATGCCAAGCTCTCGTTGATGAATGAGGTGTTCAGCTTTACTAACGACAAGTAGTAAGAAAAAAAATCAAACTCAATCACTAATTGTTAATGCCTTTTTGAAGCTTGATGCTATCAATAATCAAGATTGCAGTAATGGAGATGATTGTGGATGACAAGTCAGTCAACGCATGCTTCAACAATGTTAGAAGACAAAATTCTCGAGCAATTTTCGATATCATTCCAACACTTACAGGCTGTATTTTAGAGCGATAAATCTAAAACTTCCCAGTTATGAAATGAATTAGTCTTGGTTGTTAGATCATTTCCGCATATTCTTATTGGAGATAGTTTCTAGTGCATTTTCATGGGAGGATAGAGCCATATCTATCATCTCTATTTTAATTAAAAAAAGGAAGCATTTGAAAGGAAACTTAAACAAATACCCCTTGAAAATCAAGCAAAAGGGATTATTTAGCATGCCGCAGCAAAAAGATTTTATTTTTTTAGGGTTTTGCACAATAACAGTATTGTCCACACCTACGTCATTCAGATGAATCATACCACATAAATTCTCAAACAAGTACAAGGCTGTTTAGTATACCATATTCTTCATATGGCCGGGCCATAAATCATCAATGCAATACTGTACAATGTAGCAAAGATAGTTACAGTTATCACAGACAAAGCTTTCTCCAACTACACGTAATACCAGTGACTTGAAAAGCAATTAATTTGTAGAATCGAACAAAGAAGAGATCACATTGTTTACCATTGAGCTCCAACTATTCAGAGACGCAACCAACCAAAGGCCAAGCAGTTCCCTAGCTGCACGCCCCAAAAACCAGGAAGGAAAAGGAATAAAAGGAGGATTAGGTCATGTCAGGTCGGATCGAAAACTAAAACCTTTAAAGAAAAAAAAGGGACCGAAGAGAGATATCTGAAAATTCACCGAATCTCAGACCGAGTTAGAGATCAGAAGAGGGTGGAGTATGATTACCTGAGACGATTTCGGAAGAAAATATTTCTATTGCTTGGAGTGCAAGTCGACGAGGCAGAAAAGAGGACGGAAGAGGAAGGAGGAGGCGGCGGCCTTTTAGGGAGGTTACGTGGCTTGCCCTTCAAGAAAGGGAGCACGAGGAAGCAGTCACTGGCGGTGATGTGTCGTGTGGCTTCCTACGTAATTAAAGAGTTCATATATTAGATATGTTACCTTCAAACAACAAATCCATTGTCGTCTAGTCCGGTTAGGATACCTGGCTTTCACCCAGGCGACCCGGGTTCAAATCCCGGCAATGGAACATTATTTATTTTATGTTTTTTTTTATTTTTAATTGCCTCTTCGTTTAATAAAAATTTTAATGTAATCTTAGGATTTAAATTGTTTTTCTAATCCTCTTATTTTTTTTTTTACCTCTTCCTCATTGTGGCTGCTCTTAAAATAAGTGTGTTATGATATATAAGTATTACAATTATTATTGATATCTAAAGTGGAAATTTTTTTATTTTTATTTTATTTTTGAATTGCATCTTCCTTTAATAAAATTTTTAATTCAACCTTAGGATTTAAATTTCTTTTCTATTACTATTATTTTTAGTTTGCCTCTTCCTTGTTTTGAATGTTCTTAAAATAAAAGCACATTATGATATCTAAATATAACAATTATTATTGGTATATAAAATGGATTTTATTTTATTTTTTATTTTTGAATTGCACCTTCCTTTAATGAAAAAAAAACTTTTGATTTAATCTTAAGATTTTAATTATTTTTGGGTGAATTCTGAGAAATTGTAGCACTCGTATTTTGAAATTTTTTAAAATATTTTTTGAAACATTTTACTTTTATCAGCCTCTATTCGTTGCTTGGTCGCTCCTCTTTCCCCCTTCACCATGAACAATCACTTGCAACTCTCATCATTGTCGCTCGTGAATTTGCCCTCTCTTCTCTCTCATAGTTCTCGCTATCAATAGGAGGAAGGAAAAGGGTGCACCGTTAACCATGGGCGAGAAAGGAGAGAGGATAACCGTAAGCTCTTCGTCGTCGACCGACGATGGGTTTTATGCCATTGCCCATAGGCTTCTCTCGTCCTACTAACCACAGGTGAGAAAGAAGAGAGGGCAACTTGTACACTCTTACTATTGGCCATAAGAGAGAAAGGAGAAGGGAGACATAGGCCTTCACCATTGCCATATTATTCAAGGGTCGCAAGGGAGGTGTGGAACAATTGGGCCAACAAGGTCCACGATGGGTTCAACGAAAGAAGAGACAAATAATCTTTTCACATGATCAAATATATTATTTTAAAATTTTTCAAAGTAAAAGTGCTAAGTCAAAAATTTTTTAAAGTAAAAGTTTTTACAAAAATTTACACATTATTTTTTCTATTATTTTTAGTTTGCTGTTTTCTTATCGTGGTTGTTCTAAAATAAAAGTACATTTTGACATATAAGGATTATAATTGTTATTGATTTCATTTTCTTTAATATTATTTTGACTTCCTGTTTCTTTAACATTATTTTTGAACCACTAGTTGATAAACATTTATAAATTTCTCTTTTAAATAGCTACAGTAAGCCAACTCACTAAACTTAACTATATATGATGTACCTGTCAACTATTAAACAAAGCGTCATTAACAAAGCAAAACGACGCCAGCTTCATTGCCCTTATACTTCAACAAAAATTTGAACACCACTAGAAAGTTCACCAAATGATCCATCTATACAAACTATATCAGCATATATCTTCATTACAATAACCAAATCAAGTTTTGAAAAATTGCCCTCGATCTCATTACAATGCCACATTCACTAGTAGACATTGATAACATTCTTGAAGCTGGAATTATCTCGAATTCTAGGCAAATGCATCATGGCTGGAGTGAGCGCCCCCCATGTTGATGATCATCAATTGGGGTGCCAACAACAGGAATATCCAAGCTGCTTTCTTCTGATTCGAGGGAGATCTCTCGCACATCAGCTATTCTTGCGGCTGTGGACTGGAAATTACCCCACTCAGCATCACCAATAGAACAGATCTCTACTCCATCGACTCCCAGTTGGACTTCAGTGTCAGCAGAATCTAGAAGTACTCTTGGATCACTTAAGCAAGCTTTATCTACATCATCTTCTGATAGGTCAACATGCTTTGTCGTGACGTCAGTGGTTGACCGTGCCTCAGATCTCTCTTCGCATACCTGCTTTGTGTTGCTCTGTTGTCTGTAAAGGAGAAAATTTATTCAACAATCTCCTAATTATGTTAGCATATATTGCAAGAATGTTCGAACAAAAGAACCATAAAATCATATTACTTATGAAGCAAATAAAAATCAATAATTAGTAAACAGATAACACTGACCTTCTATCATTAAAATATAGAGCCAAGTTTCAGTGCTTGTTCAACACATATAGTTCAAGAAAAGGATTGCATTATATCTTCTGAGATGCTGATTAATTATTCTACATCATTTACATATTAAGGAAAAAAACATATTTGGCATATTCATCTATTTGTTCCCCATGGCAAAAATAGCAAAGATATTTATAATCATTGTGAATATACAAGTGTAGTTTGCATACACATATATGCATATGGATGCATGACAGTTGATACGACTATGTCATCTTCGTGTTGCACTTGGAAGAAGTGGAACTGCGGTTTATAGGGTCGAAGAGAGGAAGATTGATATAGCATAAGAGAAAAGGTAAGAAAATTTTGATGAAAAACTCTAGATGATATTAACCCTTGTCTTAAACATTACTTCATGACACTCCAGAGCTGATAAATGTATATATATGTTGAATTACTAAAAAAATTCAGACTGATGATTAGATTACTGGATCACGCTCTGCGTTTTCGATCCTGCCGAGAACATTTTTTCCATTCGAACATGACAGAAAGAATTGCAGATAAATCTACACATACTGCAGTATAAGGCAAAAGGAGTCGTGAACCATACCTCTGAACTTGTGTTTGCAAAACATTCACAAGTGCTAAAAGATCTTCTTTTTCCTTTGCTGCAGTCAATGCTTTTTCTACAGCATCATTTACTCTAGCCCCAGCATCTACTTCTAATGCTCTGGCCCTTTCTTCAGCTCTGAAAACAGCTGCTTCTAATATCACAGCATGTTCTCTAGCTTTTGCAAGCTCAGAACGCCACTGATGTGCCTCCTGAAAAGCAGAATCCCTCTGTTTTAGCAACAGCTCTCGTTCTGTAGCTAAGGCCATCACCTTTTCTTCATATTCTCTCAACTGAAAAAATCACAATTTATTTGTAACTGCCAAAAAGGAGAGACAAACAGAAGAAAAAAGCATACAAAATGTAGCAACATACTTAAATAAAAACACTATACCTTAAAATCACAAACTGATGAGATGAAAGGCAATCACTCCTGTAGTTGCCCAGTCAAATTTTCCTGCCTAATTATTGCTCTAAAGAAGCAGCTGACTCTTTACTCTCTTTCAGGTCATTTCACACATCAAATCTTATCATTTATATCTTTTCAGGCTTTGAAAGTAAGCCTTTGCTCGACTGGCAGTTTGCTCTACAAAGAACTTATGGGGAGTATTTAAACTACAAAATATGGTATTTTCACATGCCAGGACAAGGCTCTCCATATATGACCCTACCAGGACCTAAACCCCACATCAGCAGGAGCATCATGCCTGGACTGCTAAATTTATAAAACCGAGAAGCATTTAGTTTCGTTCTCATGCATGTGAAGTGACCGTGAAGAATGGCAGTTATATGCTAGTCATTTGATTGATAAAAGGTCTCTGTAACTTATATTTTTCACAGTCAGATCATTGGAAGGGGACATAATTCTAGATATTGAAGATCAATTTCATATGCTCAAGGTAGATGCAATCAGTATCGATGTCACATTTCAGCATATATTCCCACGATACATTTGTCTGATTATAGTTGCAATAAAGCCATAAGAAAAATATTATGAGCACTATATCACATTGGACAAAAATATTGGAGTATCCTAATATGTTTGACTATAGAAAGAATTTGCACGTAAACACAATCATAGGATTAAAGCCATGCACACAAAGAATGTAGTAATCAAGTGTTCTTAACAAAAACAGAATTAAGAATTTCATAACTCATAGTCGGGCTGAAGAGATGTTCCATAAGTTAATTGTAAATATGCTTATCATTCAATTTGTCATCCTTAAGTACATGAAAAAAATGCTAAAATTTGATGCTAAATAATGAAGAGCTAGGAATCACCTTAAGCTGGGCAGTTTCTAGTTGCTTCTGTGCATCATATGTTAGGTGCTCAATTTCCAAGCAGGCAATTCTTCTCTCCCCATCTATTGCATGAGCTGCAGAAGCAGCAGCTTCAGCAGCCTCAGCTGTCTCCATCAGCTTATCAGCTATGTCTTTTATGGTGGAATCACGGGCACAAATATCCTTAGCCAGCTGCTGTAGTTCCTCATCTTTAACTCTAATAGTTTCCTGCACCATAAGCATTAGATAACATAATTTAATAACAAACAGAACGAAAAAATACCATGAAATTCACTTCAATGCAGAAAAAATCAACACTTAGATTCTGAGAACAAGATAAACAACTAAATACATCTTGAGAAGCACTACATCTTGATTGTTAGATAAGAAAAAGAAAATTTTCTCTAATTTCATATGGAAAGAATAATTATAAGAATAATTGTGCTGGAGTGAGAAACACAAAAAGTTATGTATCACTGTACCATAATCAGCATCCAGGATCTAAGAGTGTCAGGACAACCAAAAGTAGGTGCGTAATAATTATTGATTAAAGTACGAATACATTTCAAAGAGATTAAACTCAGATAACTTCTTGTCACCTCCATTACCACTATCATATTGGTGCAACGTTTTCATGATTTAGATGTCCAAGCCGAAAACAGATTAGTCTACGACTCTCCTAAAAGAACACTCTCTTAGTCTGCACATATTGCAATGTGAAAGATTAATCACACAATGATGCTTTTTAGCGTAGAGGAATACAGAAACCTTTTTATTAGCTAGATATAGAGCTCCAATTCACTATGCCAGAAAATAATGTGATTCTCATAACTTTTGGTGGGATTAAAAAGAAAACATAAAATAGAAGCACCAGACCTAAACACAAATAATCAAGCATATATCAGAATGATCACTAGATCATTTCCACATAAACAAAAACAATGTATTCAGATAACTAAAAAACCTTTGCATGATCTGATCATCACTGATCTCTTTAAATACCTTCATAATGGTCAAATCATCTAATTGACCTTCATTTGCCTTATTAGTCAACAAGCCCAAAGCAGCTTTCATGGAGATTCTCATTGCTGCTTCAATTTCCTTTGAGGCTTCCATTGCAGTTGAGTTAGCAGTTGCAACCACAGTGGCAATTGTTCCCAATTTCACAGAACCACTCCCACTCAAATTAGTAACTGCTTCCTTATGAGCATGCAGTACCAACTGAGTTGCACTGTTATTGGACAAGAAAAAACTGAATGAGAATATTAATTCAGACAGCCAATTAAAATATTCTTAACATTAAATGTTAAAACGTAGATTTATGAGAAGCACCAGCTACAAATAACAATGAGGTAAGGCCAAGATTTCAACCAGTGGTCACATAGTTATATTCAGCTGCTGAATGCAAAGGCAACAAATAAATTTGGATTTATCAATTGACTTTGATGCTTACATAACACTAGCTTTGTGTCCACATAAAAGCATAACTGACAGATGAAAACCATACACCTAATAGGATGCTGCTTAGTTTATTGAAAGATTTAATGAAAAGTCCACATGCTTACTGTAAGGTGGCTACCCAAGCTTTTGCAGCACCAGGAGTTTCTGCACAGAGGAAATATTCCTTTTTCTGTGGAGTTCCAATATCTTGCGTAGTCATTGAGGAACTGAAAAGGTTTCATTACATGCACTCCGAAAGAACTTGCGATATTGTCTCAAGTCTTAAGATAAATGGAAAAAAATATCCTAAATACTCAACAGAGATCAAAGTATATGAATATGGATACAAAAACAGCAACCATCATACTTTTGCAGTCCACTGCAGCAAGAAAAAGGGTGTCAGATGCTTTTAAAAGCACTGTCAAGCAATGATGAAACTGAGTATAAAACATAACTGCACACATGACAATCTTACTGGAGGTTTATGGGGGAGATAGTGATTATGCTGTTTGAATCAAATATGATTGCTCCCTTTATAATTGTATCATTTCTCCGAAGCCTATGCCAGGTTAAACATGAAATATGACAACTCTATCATAGTCAAGAAGTTTAAATTCACAACTTTATATTGAAGGAAGCCATGATATAATACTTGTATTCCATTTTTCCCGTAGTTGGATCTAGGATCACCCAACGTTCATTCCATTTCCGCAGCTGTTCAATAAAACTGATGAAAGGTTGTTACAAAATTTCCTAACATAAATAACTCCGAAAAGAGACCGTGTAACTGCAGTTCCAATAACATTCAAGAGGGATATGTAAACAGCCGGAAAGGGGCAAAGGTAAGAGGAAGTACTCTCCAAAAGAGCAAGCTGTGAGGAATATGAATCTAAGCAAATTCAACACATACAACCCATTGTACTTCTTGACAGATTCTGAACCAAAATAGTAACAAATTGTGAACATGATGCTGTTAGAAAGACCTGGAAAGGGCTCCCTCCATCAAATGCATGATTAATAACAAAATAAACTTTGGTTAATCTAAAGAGATTGCAAACAAGAAAACTCCCTCCTTTAGCATCTCTTTTATGTAAGTAAAGCCATGAATTGTTGCATTGCCTTCACATTGTTTATTTCGTGTGCAGTACATCCCACCCAGTTCTCCAAAAAATTAACCTCTAATTTGATGTCACTGAACCAAACAACATGACATTCCACGAAGCCTTAAAAAGTCGTGGAAGTATCAAAAGAAAGAAAGGAATAAAAAATTGAACTTTCCATATCGTAAGAATATCTTAAATGGGAAGAATTGGACCCTAATTCCTACAAAGAACGCGAGATCAAAGGCCACACCGTCTCCGATCGCTTGAGAAGCGGGCCCTGCAGCAGATACTTCCCCGACCCTGACATCAGCTGCCGCTTAATTTTCTCCAAACTGCTTTCTACATCCCCCGTCCTCTGAGAAAATCAAAGAAGCCTCAAAAGACATCATTTTGGATAAGACCAGATGGAGAAAAGGCCAAATTGGAGAAGGAAAAACCTAGGATCCAAATAGGAACTCACAGCGGCGCTCCCATTGGAAGCCATTTGGGAGAACAGGAGCCGGCCGGAAGCGAGAGCGAGACGGGGTTTTGGTGTGCCGCTGCGAACGAATCGAGAAGAGGGGCTTTGTCGGTTCGTCGTCGACTTGTTTACTTAATCATTTGCAATAACGCCCTTCTAATAGTGAGGAATAACTAAACACCGTCCCTTTTTCTAGAATTAGGAAAGAAGATTACTATTTACAATTCACTCCTTATTATTTATAATTATATTTTTTAAATTTTAATAACGATGCACAAGTGGGTTTTCAAAAATTATTTTGATCTATAAAAAAAGAATGATAAAGATAGATTTTGATCGTAGAATCTTGAGTTAGTGTTAGAAGATAAAAAGACATTGGCCTCTTAGTCAATTCGACTTAGTCCAAACTCATAAGCACAAAAATATTCGAGATTTATCGAACGAAGGAATGATGTGCATGATCCAAAGTGACTTCTGAGATTTAAATATTATGCTTGTCGAAATGTCATCTACACGAACGAAGACTAAGACGAGAGGGTTTTCAGACCAAATCACTGTAATGCTTAAGTTAGCAAAAAAAAAACTTTCTACTATGTGTTAAAGTAGTCGAATTATCTTTCTTCTTATTTAGGATACATTTTATATTTTTATGATCATGTTTTCTTATTATAAAAGAGGAAAATAAAATTTATAATTACTTTTCTTATCGTAAAAGGAGAAAAAAGAGTTTAAGTTTCTCTTCCTTGTTGTAACGAAAGAGGAGGAAGTATGTTTTATATTTCGAATGCAAATGAAGGATAATATAGATTTCATGTGATTATTATATCTCAATTATTAATAAATTCTCTATCAGCTAACATCTTCAAAAACCCAATACCCTCAAGTATTTCTAAGATGATTATTCATTACTTTACCTCCTAATCCTGTTGATGATATTAGAGGTTCATCGACCTTCAACAATTTTAACAATATATATATATATATATATATATATATATATATATATATATATATATATATATATATAAAATCTTGCTTGAGTATCAAAGAGAAGCGACATCAGATCCATTCATTCATATCTAATTTGTCTTTTAATAAATCAAAATTCCATGTCATAAGATACTGAGAGGATCAATCTTTGATTCCAGCAAGGTGTTGATGTGAGCACAAAAAGGCCGGACCGAATCCAGCATCCCATGTCAACAATATGGTCAAAGTGGGTTCGATCGTATTCATTTCGTGGGCTATACTCAAAGTTTTGTGCAATTGATGTTCAATACTTAAAAAGACGAGAAACACCATTTGGATGATTTAAATTATGGATAAATTGATTATAATTATTGAAATATTTAAATCTAAATTCCAATTCGAATAAGATTTTGATTCTTAAACACATCAAAAAATTTGAAGATTCAATAAAGATATGTTATTGTAAAAACTATATAAAAGACATGATCGATAAAAATTCATAGCATACGATGTTTAAGGTAACAAAATGATTAAAGGATTCAGAAAATAAATATATATCGTGTCAAAAGAATCTAAGAAATATATATATGGAAACTTTCCTATAACCATATAGGAGCTCGTATAATCATTAAAATTAAATTATGAGTTAATCCGTAGATCAATTATATGAAAATCATTAGTCATTCCTTAATTATGGAATATAAACTTTTGTCAAGTTAGTATTAATACCTATGATATCAACTCAATACATCGTATTAATGATCATATCGATCGATATAACAAGAGGCTGTAGTGTCTAACCATCTGATTTTTTTATCGAATACTTATTTTTTATATTAATATACTTTAAACTAAATTCAACCACTTTGGACGTACAATAAGATTTTGGCGACTTTTTTTTTACTATAAAAATCTCCTTTCAGTAGAATGATTTTTGTTTTCTAAAATATATTTTAATTCTAATAAAGAAGAATATTTTAATCCCACAGAAATCGGGATTTAAATTGGGTAGCGCACACTAGGTGACGTGGGTATCGCGCCGACCACAGGAGGACCACAAGCTTTTGTGTCGGGCTTGACTTCAGCGTTGCGAAACCATGATCATCGTTGTGGGCTCCAAATACATTCCCAATTGCATGACCGGTAGGTGAGTGGGTTAGGTGATGAAGTCAGCAAACTAAAATCTTACTCTGCGATATGATGCCTTAACCAGTCCCCACGAGATCTGCGCGCTGCCCAGAAGAAAGCCTCCACGAAGCCAACGGCCTAACGTAGACGATAGAGGAGCGGTACACGAGAAGCTTTTCTGTGCCGCAGGAATATTATAACCTAAGTTATATGATATATTCTCCTAAAACCTGTTGGGTTTACGTCTTCTCCTACGCGATCGATTCCCCCGTCCACGAGAGAAGTCGCAAGTTGTGCTTCGAATTCGTGGGGACGATGGCGGCTGCTGGAAGCAATAAGATCAAGAACGCGAAATTGGTAAATATGTTTTGCGTGCGCCCGATCCTTGGATTTGTGTTGTTAGTAATTGTGGTGTCATCTCAAAATCCCTTCTTTTATGTTAATTCCAATGTTAACGAATTTTATCCCTATGGTCTTTGTTCTTTTCGTTGAAATGAATATTTTTCGCAATTTAGTGAACCCAATTTAGCAGTTTCTCTGGTGTTTTAGCTTACTTTTTAGGTATATGATTTTATTTTGATGTGAGTTATGAAATTTGGAATTTTTTTCCTTCCCTCTGGTAGTTGAATCAAACCGCTGATGTATCTTGGAGATTTCGATTTCTTGTTATTGTTAATTTGGGGTAAAATGATTGACCTAATAATCTTTGTCAGAATGGGAATTTTGCCTGTAACTAGGTTCATGTTAGGTTTGGCTGTTTGATTTGCTGCTTACAGGCATTCCTTAAACACCTTTGCTTCTGTTTATTGTTACCATTCGAAGTAAAGTTTGGTTCCCTTTTCTCTTCTCAGATTAAAGTTTGTTCGTTATTTTCTTCATAGGTATTTCATGTTTCATGTGTTATAAATATTGAACTTATTGAGTTGTTTATTAGGTTCTTCTCGGAGATGTGGGGACTGGAAAGTCTAGCCTGGTATTGCGTTACGTAAAAGGCCAGTTTGTTGAATTCCAGGTTGGTGTTGAGTTCCAGAACAGTCCACTTTCACGTCATGGAATTCGGAGTTTAAAGAATCACATAGACCTGACCTTGTGAGTTGTGACTCGTGTTTGATTTTACAGGAATCAACAATTGGCGCTGCATTCTTCTCACAGGCAGTCGCAGTCAATGATGAGACAGTGAAGTTTGAGATTTGGGACACGGCTGGGCAAGAGAGGTACCACAGCTTGGCTCCTATGTATTACAGAGGAGCTGCAGCTGCTGTGATTGTTTATGACATAACCAATCTGGTTAGTGAAATAGGATAGTTGGATTCCCATGGTGCCATTGTTCATACATATCTTATATATAACATCTGAATACAACCTTCTACACCTGGACCTGATATTTTTCCTCATTCCTCAAATAGCATAGTTGAAGAAATTTCTTCATTCAAAAAAAATTTATCTGAACTTGACAATTCTAGTAGTGGCACTAATGGCCTTCTGAAATTATTTTTAAATTTTTTGGGTATCACATATCTAATGGTAAAACAACAGTGTAGATAATTGGAAAAGAAAATTGCTGAGGTGGATAATAGAAACTATTTTATCCAATGCAATGTTAGATATCTGTATAGAAATTAAAATGTAATCATGTTAGTCTATACTGGGAAAAATTGACATTTATATTTACTTTTTCATATGGTTTTGATAGGTTTGCAAATAAAAGTTGGTGCCAATACCATAACTGTTCAAAGATTAGTTGGCCTTTGTATTTGAGCACCATACTAATGTTGAAATAAGGAGCTAGGAAGTGGGTAAAATGGAAGGTAAAATTTGTTGATAACAACCTTGTATTATTACCTGTATATGCATTAAAAAGAAAAAAAATCTAAGTGGTATACGCATTTTCAAGAAACACTCATTTTCTTTCATAGACTTGAAATTTACTCATGGGAGTATATTGGTGTTTCTGATTAGGACCTTAATGTTGTGTAAGATACATATTCTTGGGAGTGTAATCTGGAGGGAGATGCCATCCTTATTTCCTGATGAATATTTTTTCTTTCCTCACATTATTTGGTTATGTTCTCTTTCATAAACTGACAAATTTTGCTAATAGGAATATTTGTGGTTAACAGAAGCTTCTGTTCTACTTATATAACTCATCAATCATGATGAGTTGAAAAAAATAGTGAGTCAAAGTTTAGCTGGAAAATCATGGTCGGTTGTGTTATTATAATCTCAATAAATTTTGGAAGAATTGCAGAATTTTTTATAATGCATTATTACTAGGTGAATTCTTTGGAACATAATCTATTAACACATATTTGCTTTATTTTTTTGGTAGTCAAAGACCATGCAAAAGCATAAGTTTTGTGTATTATCTGACAGATCCCTTGAATTATTATTCAGGCTACATTTGCTAGAGCAAAGAAGTGGGTTCAAGAACTTCAAGCTCAAGGTAGCACCTAAACTCTTTTAGTTTGGATAATTGGTATGTTTAGACTTCCAATTCATATTGGATATTTGATAAATTTAGATTTCCAATTCATCGTTGGATGTATGTTGTCTGAAATCTGAATAGCTTTAGTATATGTGCTTTCATTCTGTCTTTTGTATCCATGAGATTGATCTTCCTCGAGGACATTAAAGTGTATTAAATTGTTTTCAATTGACTACCCATAATCCTTTTTCATGTCTAGATGCACTTATGTTTTGAATAGTCAGTAAATCCAGATTTCCAATTTATCATTGGGTGTTACATTGCCTGAAATTTGAGTAGCTTTAAAAATATTGTTTTATGCTGTCTCTTGCATTTATGAGATTGACCTTCCTGGAGGATGTTAAAGGGTATCTAATCATTTATGTTTGACTATTCATACTCCATGGCCACTTAATGAACTTATGTTCCTATGAAGTACCTTGTTTTTTCATTAGTATTAAAAGAACTAGAAAGAACTTATGTGCAAGCTTGTGAAAGTGCACACTTATGTAAATCTTGGTCAGCTAGGTAGTTGGTTTGCAGGCTCTTGGGTTTTTTTGTTAGGGTATTCATGGAATCCTTCAAGTTAATATCTTTCTTCTCTTCTATATGAGAGCTTTGATTCTGGATCTTTTGGCTTCATCATGAGAATCTTGTCTTCCTGTTCAAGATAGATAAACTATATTTGCTGTATAATCGTTGTAGTGTATCACACTAAAAATCAACGTTCATGTAGCTCTTAATAGTACTGAAATTTCTACTTTGTTGAATCCATATATATGCTGTTTCTTATTCCTAGAAATTTGATCATGTTTCAGGTAGCCCAAACACTATAATGGCTCTTGCTGGTAATAAAGCTGATTTGTTCGAGGCTAGACAGGTTTCTGCTCAGGTGAGTTCTCCTAGTTGTGCCTTCTGATTCTTAGACATATGAATTTAGACTATTCATTAATACATCTTTTTGACAGATCGAGCATAGATAACAGGTACATGCTTTCAAGATCATTTTTATAGTTTATATTGGGTTCAATAAACTCCACCTATCCGCACAGGCTAGATTCATTGGAGTTTCTTTATCTCCCTTGGATGGGGATGGATCAAGTGATCCTTTCCTGTCTCAGTTGTCTTACATTATCTTATAGTTATTAGGCCTATTCCAGTATAGAAAGAAAACACACAAATGTATGAATGTTGCATCTTTAAAAGTAAATATAAAAGGATAAATAATAAAAATGTGTTTATCTGCTCATGATGGCAGTTATGCTAATTTTTATGACTGACAAATCTTAAGGTACTTAGGAGACTGAAAACTGAGAGATGGGTTATCTATGCATGAATGGCAAAGTTAAATTAACAACTATGTCAACTTGAGACTGTAATCTTTCTTAAACTGGCTAGATTCATTTTTTTTTCCTTTTTCTAGAAGCATATTTGATGCTGAAAGAGAAGTGTTTCTATATGGTGAAATTAAATTAATCAAAACCGAAAGGTCTACACTTTCCAGATTAGTGTGTTAAATTATTAACCATTGTCGGCTCATCTAAAAGCCAGATGAGATTTATTAATATTCTAATATTCCTTGTCCCATGTGTAAGCCCAACACATGATGTAACTATCAAGAAATGTTAACTTTACCATGTCCCTACTTTCCACGATCGTTGTCCCGAAATGCCATCCACGGGAGCATGTACTTTATGTAGTCACAAAAGCACTGATCTGATATTTGATGTGGCATTGTTCTTTTCCTTCACTTGTAACCTTGAAAATTTCCCTTAAACATCTATTTGTAACAAATATGGTGCTTTGATTGCAGGAAGCCCAAACCTATGCTAATGAGAACGGTCTCTTCTTCATGGAAACTTCTGCTAAAACAGCAATCAATGTTAATGATATATTCTATGAAATTGGTAAGTTCCTTTCTGGTTATTCTAAAGGAAAAAGAATAGAGATTCTACTAAAACTCACCTTGGTCATTGGATCGCACTATCACATAAACATTTCATGCACACAAGTTTATCCAAGTTACGATGCAACTCTATTACATTTTGATGCTTGCACACAATGGTCTGAAATTTACCTTGGGACTTGGTACCACGAGATCTTTCAGATTATTCTTCACGTTTGAAATATTCAAGATTCATATCCTTGGGAATTTTGCTTATATATTCACAGTTCTGAAATGTGTACATCATTGTTCTAACAATGCTTTGATTAAGGCATTATTGGGATAAAATATTACTGCAAAATTCTCAACCTTTATGATATCATAGCATCAGATGTCACAGATTTTTCGGGTTGCTGCGTTATCAAAGTAATGTGTTTTATGGTTTTTGTTTCAGCAAAAAGACTAATCCAAGCTCAGCCAGTACAGAACCCTCAAGGAATGATTCTAGCTGGTAGGCCAAGCGAGAGACCATCCACTGCTGCTGGTTCTTGCTGCTCTGCCTCTTAGTGATTTGCTGGTTTTCACTGCCACCCAATGCTTATCTATTAAATGAAATGAAACTGCTTCTTGGTGGCAGATGCTTGGTTTATGATTCCAGAAAAGTGCAGGAGAGGTTCTGATGACCCATTTATTGCAAATGTAAATGGATGATGTCCTCTTTGTCATATGCAACTTTATTTGCTAGTTATCTGGAACTAATCCCAATTCCATATTTTTCTTCTGCTTGAGTTTCTACATTTGAATGAATTGGATCTGATTCAAGATTCAGCTGCCTCTCTGATTACATCAAAGGAAATCCACAACAAATGAAGCAGGGAAGAAAATAAGATGATGCGATAAAGCTATGACAAAATGAACAAAAGAGACGGAAGCCCTCAGCACATCATTTACAATCTCTCTGTCATCGACCTCCGGAAATTCCAGAAACAACTGAGGCAGTGGCCACCGACGACGAAGGGTACGACACAATATGATCATCGAAACCTTCATTGTGAGGCAGCCCAAGAACGCTGAAGCTGAGGTACGTGGGCGACAGTTCCGGAAGCGGCGCGTCGCCCTCCAAGAACCGCACCACTTGCCGCATGCTCGGCCGGGCTGCGGGCAGCGGATGCGAGCACAGCAACCCAAGCTTCAAAGCCAGCTCCACCTCCTCCGCCACGTACTCCTCTCCCAGCCTTGCATCCCTCGTGTCCAGTATCGATCCCTTCCGCCAGTTCTCCACCACCCAGTCCAACAGCACGAACTGCTCCTCGTCCGCCATCGTCTCCACCGGCCTCCTCCCGCAAGCGACTTCGAGAACGAATGCCCCGAACGCAAACACGTCGGTGACGGTGGTCGCCTTGCCGTTTCGGGCGAGCTCGGGAGCAAGATAACCCGTGGTTCCGACCACATGGGTGGTCAGTGGATCAGTTCCATGATCGTATAGTCTTGCTAGGCCGAAGTCACCCAGTCTTCCGTTCCATTCATGGTCGAGCAGCACATTGCTCGCCTTGATGTCTCTGTGGATCACGACTTGCTCCCAGTCCTCGTGTAGATACAGAAGTCCCGATGCCACCCCTTTGATGATCCGAAACCGTGTCGCCCAATCCAGAGTAGGCTTGTCTTGGTCATACAGAAAGTTGTCGAGGCTGCCATTGGGCATGTAATCGTACACCAACAGCAGCTCCCCTTTGCGCCGGCAGTAGCCCAACAACTGGACAAGGTTCCTGTGGCGGAGGCGGCCGATGCTGACGATCTCCGCTATGAACTCTCTCATACCCTGTCTCGATCCATGGGACACTCTTTTCACCGCAATCTCCGATCTAGAAGACGGTAGCACGCCCCTGTAGACTCTCCCGAACCCGCCGATCCCGAGCAACTCCTTATCGTGGAAGCCCTTGGTAGCGTTGAACAAATCTCTGTAGGAGAACCGGTGAGGTCCGTACTCGACCTCCCAGTCTTCCAGTAGCTCGGCATACTTGATCCTCCATCTCACGTATAACACGATGATCCCTACAACGATCGCAACAAGTGCAGCTGACGCCAAGGGCAGCCCGATACGCAAAGCCTTCGATCTGCGATCTGACTTCGTGCGAGGGAGTGAAGGCAGCAGCGAGTAGTCGAGAGCTCGAGCTACTCCATTCATCTTAAAGCTCCAACCGAGAACGTAATGAGATGTTAGGAAAGGACCTGTGGATGAGGAGAATCCGACGTACATGGTGTCCGAGAACACGCTTGAGAGATCAACGGGAGCAGACAGGAGAGGTTTACGGGGTTTGGCCACTGGGACTGGAGCCAAGGTAACATCGAGCAGCATCTTTCCGCTGTCATAGTCTACCCAAAGTTGCATGGCTCGGCCGCTACTGAGGCTTAGATTTTGGAACGAATCAGTGTCATTGGGATAATAACCAGCAGTGTAGGACTGATTAGATGTCAAGCTGTTGATATCGATGCCGACATGATTGTTATCGATGTCATGGAATTCGGGGTTACGGATCGTGTCGAGCTCGATGGCAAGGACATGGTTGGTGGAGTTGCCATTGTTGCTCATATTGAAGAGGCCTAAATACTGGCTACCTAAGGCTTGGGAGAAGTTCTTGGTGCGAGAAACTATGAAGGTGATTCCATGGCCACTGAGATTGGTGTAGTCTGAAAGGAAGCCAAAGACAAACGTGGTGGAGAAGGAGAAGGCCGTACCATTAGCGACGTCTCTGAACCGAAGCGGAGATGGTTGGAAGGCATGGCCCTTGATCTCCATCGTTTTGTCGGTGAGCATCAGAAGACCGTCGGAAGTGATCGCTGCGATCCCGTCGAGGGTAAAGTTGGCTCCTCTGAATCCATTGAAGAGGAAATCATCATTTCCGCTGCTGGCAGAGGCTGCAAGACTTTGGTGGAGGAGGAGGAGGAGGAGGCAGATCAAAATCTTGGGAGACATTAGTGGCAAAACTCCGTTGCAGGATTGCGTGGGTGGTGAGGGAATAAGCTTCTTCTTTTACAAGCTTATCCCCACTCAGATCGAGCCAGCAGACTATATTTGGGACTAATGGGTGGAGAGAGAGAGAGAGAGAGAGAGAGAGAGAGAGGAGAGGGCTGTTGGCTGGCGGCTTTGGCGTTTCAGACATGTCTTTGACTCTGTGGGCTCTATGTGTAATGCCATGATTGGAGCTTAGAGCCTTTTTTATCACCATTATTCCATTGAGGTATTAAGAGCACCAGTTGACCCTTCTCTCTCCTAACCTGCTTCATTTAACTTGATGATTTATTTATATTTTTATTTTTTACTGGAAACAAAATGCATTGTTAAGTAAAAAAAGAAGGGTCAATTTTCTCATTAAAAAATAATTAGATTTAGAATATCTGACATGGCTACTCCGTTATTTTCACAAAAAATATAAAGACAAAAAATTTATTTTTGAAAACATTCGAGTTAAATTTGAAAGAAAATAAACTATAAAGAGGTCGGTGGAAGTGTTCACGTAGAATTTCAATCCCTTTATAAGTTATATTTCACCTGTTAGGAAAAAAATATTATTAACATCTTTAGTCAATCTGATAAGGTTTGGATTCGTATATGAAAGATCATCTAAGGTATTTTTGAGGTGTAAATGTCAAGTCCCTCATGTGTCATTTGCACAAAGATGAGATCAAAAGAGAATTCACGATTTAGTTCCTCCGACGCTCTAAGTGTAGATGGGAATAATAATAAAAAAATTTCTTTTTTTTTAAAATTTAAAATGAGCTTTTATATCTATCCTTTAAAGATATGAAAGAAGTTTAAGATTGTCTTTCTCAACATAAATGATGAGAAAAAAATCTTATGATTGACGTCATAGATGATGAAAAGAAAATTTACGATTATCTTTCTAATTCGAGATGGAAGTTTTGTCATCTTTTCCTCTTTAGGTGCTACTCGGTGATGATGTATTGGATGATTAGTCAAATATAGTTTTCCTATTATGACAATAGTAATCTTTGAATTATATTTTTTTTCGAGAAATACATTATTTGCAATTTCTTTTCCCGTTCATCACACATAATTACATGGCTAGTTCTACGTTAAAAGAAATAAAATTTAAGATAGATTTATAAGAATTTGATAGATATATTATTATTAATTTACATGTTAGGGTCGTATCCACTTGATGAGGACATCAAATGGATAAAACTTAAAATAAATGTATAAATATTAGATAAATATACTATTATTAATTTGAAGTTAAATATTTTATTACCCTATCAACAACGTAAAGATTCTGAATACCATTGATCAGATTAAAACTTAGCCGACTGGATAGAAAAATAGAGGCCATGGTTGTGTCCCACCCAAGTCAACGAGGTGACTTAAGGTACTAAGTCACATGAACCTGTTTTTATGGACTCCGATCTTTTGATTTGATAGGTTACACTTGCTGTTCATATTGAAAACAAAAGGCTTGGCGGTGGATTCTCCATCTTTCTTCCTTTTTCTCATCAAGTCTTTTGGGTTCCTTCATCACGAGGGCAGGAGATGTGGCATTGGATGTATTGACTTGGAACAATTCCCTCTAGATAATATCTCCACAGGGAATTCAGCCAAAAACTCAATTTGTATTCAGTGGGTGAGATGACAAATCAAGTAACAAATACAATTTATTATTATTATTTTCTTGGTTTGACTTCTTCTCTATGTATAATAATTCTCTCCCTGTCATTGATCCTTTTTCTCTAAGATTGCCTTGAGGCTGTCAAGTTTGACCAATTATCTTAGTCATTTGAAATTGTTATGTTTGTCTCATGCTGATGCATTTGCCTTAGTTAGATTCTAACTTTTATCCATTTGACATCACATAATGGAGAGATATACAATGGGGCAGGTGATGTGTGGATTGGACTATGTGGTGGAGGATCTGATCAGGGACTCATGGTTGATATATATAGAGGTCTGTTTTGTTTGAAATTGACACCAATGAGACATGATATCCAACAAATACAAATAATTCTCCTATTATATCATCCATCATATGATCCATCTTTATTTAGTTCACACCATCTCTACTGAGACTTCTCCTAGTTTCCTTAGAACAAGGAAGTCAAGCCAAATTATTTGCTAGAGTGAACGATTTGTCAGTTTGTGTCTTCTAGACCCACTAAATTGTAGCTTTCATAGCTTGCAAGATAGTGGGGTCAGCATTCCTCTCCTTCAACCAAATGTTCTTCACTATTGACTCCTCCAAGCAAAAGCAAAATTGATGGCCAATTTAGACTCATGGATATCCCACAATCTAGTTGAGAAAGGTGATTGGAAGAACAAAAGTGTTCAATGGATTCAGGACATAATACCCAATTTCTTCCACCTGTCAGCAGTCAAAGAGGTGGTGATGTAAAAGATTTCAACAAAAAAGCTTGAATTTTTGAGCCAAAGGAAGCTTCTATACCACCAATCCTCACCCCCAAGTCCATATATTACATTCTCCTCATGTTGTTATCTGATGTAATTTCTTCCAGCATCAAAAATGTTCTACTTACTGAGAAGTGTTTCTAACTAGTGTAAATATCACTGGTACATTTAATTTCACTTGATGAAGCTATTAAGATTATAGATATTGGAAATGACCGGGAGTAATACCATGATGTTACCCACTAAATGGTGATGGAGATGATCCAAAAACACTTCCAGCTTCAATTTAACAATTACAAGGAAAGTTAATGCAGGAAGTGGAGAGATGGATCTTTCTTCTGGATGAACCAAACATATTCTATGATTCTTTGACTGGGCAAAAGTTCTCTGCAGAGAACAAACACTTTGTGAGTGTAATCAGAGCAATGTGAAGCCATTACTATAGTGCTAAGACAGTTTCACAAGAATACAAGAACATGTCTTAGTTTGCATCGATCTCTTCTTCCCAAAAGTCTGTGACATGGGTGTCATACCATGCAGAGTTTTGTCTGCAGAGGACCATTGGAAAGAGGACCCAAAAAACAAAAGATAAAGATCTTTCACACCTAAAACCTATAAATCTATCAACGACAAGACAAGGCAAGAGCCACCAACAGCGTCCTGACATGGAACACATGATAATGACCACCTCCTTCCTTGTTCATCACTCAATTGTAAGGAGCTAATTCTTAGCCTCTCACATAAAGGTTTCCGATACCATTAGCCATGGTAAAACTTAGCCAGCAAGGTGAGAAAACAGAGGCCATGGTTGTGTCCCACCCAAGTCAACGAGGAGACTTAAGGTACAAGTCACATGAACCATTGTTTTGGATTCATGTCATTCAATCTGATGGATGACACTTTCTGTTCATATTGAGAACAACAGGCTTGACATAGGATTCATCATCTTTCCTTTTCTTACCGAACCTTTTGAGTTCCCTCATCACGAGGGTAGGATACTTGGAATAGGACGTGTTGACTTTAAACAGGTTTCTAGATTACAGCAAATGGATGACAAGTTTATTCAGAGGGTGAACCTGAAGAAAAAATGAAGTGGATGACAAGTTTAACTGCTACAAGCACAAATCTATCCTTCTCTTAGTGTCTTATATCATGTCATATTTTCCTCTATGTATCATAATCCTCTCCTTGTCATTGATTGTGTTTTCTGAGATTGATTTGTCTCTGTGTGCTCAGGAGAAATAGCTGATGTTAGGTTCCACTAAATGTCTTAATCATTTGAAGAAGTTGTGTGTGTCCCAGGCTTCTGCAGTTGCCTTCAATTGTATTCTAACTTTGATCCAATGCACATCACATGAGAGTGAGGTGTGGATTGGATGGACTTATGTGGTGGAGTATCTGATCAGGTTGATTTGGAGGTCTGTTTTGCTATGTTCCATGATTGCAGATTCTCTATATTTGTCCAGAAAATAAGAACATGTCTTGATCTGCATCATTCAGTTCTTGAGCAGTGTTCGTCCGTAACTAAGAGCAGGCAACTCTCACAGGTATATTTTTCCTACTACAGGATGCAAAATATTGTGGAGTGGAAGAACAGCAAGCAATGCAGAGAGTTACAATTCAGTGAGCCAAAAATGGGTGCTCCAGAAGAATTTAACACAGAAAATGAACCCATCATGTATACTTTGGATCAAAATATCATGTTAATCAAGTTTATCTGACTCCTGGTAGATTCGTATCGATGCAAAGAGAACAGTCGCTATGTGGAAAGGAAGGAACAGAAGAGAGGGAGACGTCTCATAAAGCGATGCTTCCCATCTGCTTCTGAAAACCTCCGGAAATAGAAGTTGCAGTGGCCACCGACGAAGGATAGGACATGATGTAGTCGTCGAAGCCTTCGTTGTGAAGCATCGCAAGAACGCTGAAGCTGAGGTACGTCGGCGACAACTCTGGGAGTGGCGCATTGCCCTCCAAGTACTCCACAACTTGGCGCATGCTCGGCCTGCCCGCCGGCAGCGGATGCGAGCACAGCAATCCAAGCTTCAAAACCAGCTCCATCTCCTCCACCACGAATTCTTCTCCCAGCCTCGGATCACTCGTCTCCTGTATGCATCCCTTCCGCCAATTCTCCAGCACCCAATCCAACAAAATGAGCTCCTCCCCGAAGGTGATCGGGTCCACCGGCCGCCTTCCGCAAGCAACCTCCAAGACGAAGATCCCGAACGCAAACACGTCGGTGATGGTGGTGGCCTTGCCGGTTCGAGCCAGCTCGGGAGCAAGATAACCCATGGTTCCGACGACACGAGTGGTCTTGGGAGCAGTTCCGTGATCATACAACCTTGCTAGGCCAAAGTCGCCCAGCCTTCCGTTCAGTTCATGGTCGAGCAGCACATTGCTTGCCTTGACGTCTCTGTGGATGACGACTTGCTCCCAGTCTTCGTGTAGATAGAGAAGGCCTGATGCCACGCCTTTGATGATCCGGAAGCGCGTCGGCCAGTCCAGAGTAGGCTTGGCTTCGTCATACAGGAACTTGTCGAGGCTCCCATTTTGCATGTAGTCGTACACCAACAGGAGCTCCCCTTTGCGCCGGCAATAGCCCAGCAACTGGACAAGGTTCCGGTGGCGGAGGCGACCGATGCTGACAACCTCTGCTATGAACTCTCTCATGCCCTGTCTCGATTCATGAGACACTCTCTTCACCGCAACTTCCACCTTAGAAGTCTGCAGCACCCCCTTGTAGACCCTTCCGAACCCGCCCATTCCGAGCAGCTCCTTGTCTCTGAAACCCTTGGTAGCTTCGAACAGATCTTTGTAGGAGAACCGATGAGGACCGTACTCAAGCTCCCAATCCTCGAGGAGCTCTGCATACTTAATCCTCCGTCTCACGAGAAGCACAATGATCCCTACGGTGATTAGAACGAGTCCAGCCGACGCCAACGGCAGCACAATGACCAAAACGTCTGATTTACCCTTAGATCTGGGACAAGGAAGCACAGGCAGCAGGGAGTCGTCAAGGTCCGGAGCTACTCCATTCATCTTGAAGCTCCATCCGAGAACGTAGTGAGACGTCAGGAAAGGACCAGTGGAAGACGAGAAGCCGACAAACATGGGATCTAATAACACGCTTGAAAGATCAATGGTGTCAGACAACAGAGGTTTGTGTGGCTTGGCCATTCGGACGGGAGCCAAGGTAACGTTGATGAGCTTCGTTTGGCCGTCGTAGTCTACCCAAACCTGCACGGCTTCACAATTTCTAAGACTTAAAGTATTGAGCAGACCAGAATCATCAGCATAGTAACCAGCAGACTGGGACTTGTTGGATTTCAAGCCATTTATGTCGATCCCGACATGGTTGTCATTCATATCTGCGAATTCGGGGTTAAAGATCGAGTCAAGCTCAATCGCAAGCACATGATTGGTCGAGTTACCATTGTTGCTCTGATTGAAGAGGCCTAGGTACTGACTACCCAAGGCTTTGGAGAAGTCCATGGTGGGAGAAACAAGGAAAGCCATGCCGTTCCCACTAAGATTGGTGAATTCCGAGACGAAGCCGAAGACAAAAGTGGTGGAGAAGGAGAAGATTGTACCATTTGATGGATTCCTGAAGTGAAGAGGGGATGGATGGAAGGCATGGCCCTTTATCTGCGTCGTCTTGTTGGTGACTACAAGAAGACCATCGGATGAGATGGCTGCCACCCCATCGAGGGTAAGATTGGCTCCCCTGAATCCACTGTAGGTGAAGCTATCTCCTCCGTTTGCTGAGGCGGCAAGCTTTTGGTGGAGGAAGAGGAGGAGGAGAAGGCAGACGGAGGCCCTGAGAAGCACCGCTGACATGTCTGTCTTCAAGAATCTGGAACAGATTCTAGTTTTTGATGGGCAGAGGAGGAGAGAGTTGCAGGCTTTGGTGTCTCACAGTCCGCACATAGGAAAGCGTGTGGGCAATCCACTGATCACAGCCATTCCTTATCCACTGATGTCTAAGCACAGAGATGGAAGGTTCATAAACCCAACAAGCATAAATAGCATCATCATCTTCTATTTCATTAAATGTGAGACAAAGAGTTAGGCAGGATTGGAGTATAATAGACAAGTCTAAGATCAACAGTAGGGGTCAATTTCGCAGCGGGTATTCCGCAGAGAGGACATGGAATGGTGCAGATGGGACCCCATTGGTAGTGGAGACGACGACCAAGGGAAGGAAGACCACGCAACAAATTGAAACCCTGATGCCACAAGTTTGAAGAAGAGTCCTCTTTCCGACACGCAAACTGCTTTTGCGTCAGCTCGGTTGACTACGCTGAAGAACAGCGACAGGAGGCGAAGGCAGCACCCACTGGTCAATGGCATGGCAAGAATAGAAGCGGCGTTCGCATGGGATTCCAACCTATGAACGAAATTGATGGATGCTTTCTTATTCTCATACTGTATTCTTATTTTTTTGCTGCATTCGAAACTATCCATATGCTCCTTCTTTATAGGTTGACGGTGGTCCAAATGGGCCCAAACCAACTATTGATATTGTATTTACACATTATGTGCTTACGATTCCAATATCATTACATCAATTACAATTCCAATCTGTTCATGGACACTCGGTCATCGACCTCCAGAAAGCATAGATGCAGTAGCCACCGAGGAGGAAGGACACGACATGATATGGTCATCGAAACCTTCCTTGCGAAGCAGCGCGAGAAGGCTGAAGCTCAGGTTCGCGGGCGACAGCTCCGGGAGTGGCGCATGGCCTTCCAAGTACCGCACGACTTGGCGCATGCTGGGCCGCGCTGTGGGCAGCGGATGCGAGCACAGCAGTCCAAGCTTCAGAACAAGCTCCACCTCCTCCACCGCGTACTCTTCTCCCAGCCTCGGATCCCTCGTCTCCAGTATCGATCCCTTCCGCCATATATCCACCACCCAATCCTGTAGAACCAGCTGCTCCTCGTGCGCCGTCGGGTCCACCGGCCTCCTGCCGCAAGCAACCTCCAGAAGGAATGCCCCGAACGCAAACACGTCGGTGACGGCAGTCGCCTTGCCGGTTCGAGCAAGCTCGGGAGCAAGATAACCCATAGTTCCCACGACATGAGTGGTCTGTGGATCCGTTCCATGATCGTACAACCTTGCTAAGCCAAAGTCACCCAACCTTCCATTCAATTCATTATCGAGCAACACATTACTCGCCTTAATGTCTCTGTGGATGACGACTTGCTCCCAGTCTTCGTGAAGATATAATAGACCTGAAGCCACGCCTTTGATGATCCGAAATCGGGTCGCCCAATCCAGAGTAGGCTTAGCTTGATCATGTAGGAACTTTTCGAGGCTGCCATTGGGCATATAATCATACACCAACAGAAGCTCTCCTTGGCGTCGGCAGTAGCCCAGCAATTGGACGAGGTTTCGGTGGCGGAGGCGACCGAGGCTGACGATTTCTGCAACGAACTCTCTCATACCCTGTCTTGATCCATGGGACACTCTTTTAATTGCAACCTCCGATCTAGAAGACGGTAGCACACCCTTGTACACTCTCCCGAACCCGCCTCTTCCGAGAAGCTCCGTGTCCCTGAAACCCTTGGCAGCCTTGAACAAATCCTTGTAGGAGAACCGATGAGGCCCGTACTCGAGCTCCCAGTCTTCCAGGAGCTCTGAATACTTGGTCCTCCGTCTCAGGATGAACACGACGATCCCCACGATGATTAAAACAAGTGTAGCTGAGGCCAAGGGTAGCCCGATGCGCAAAACCTTTAACTTGTGATTTGATTTCGCACGAGGAAGAGAAGGCAGCAGGGAGAGGTCGAGAGCTTGGGCTACGCCATTCATCTTAAAGCTCCAACCAAGGACGTAATGAGATGTTAGCCAAGGACCAGTGGAGGAGGAGAATCCAACATACATGAGATCCAATAACACGCTTTTAAGATCGATGACCGCAGATAAGAGAGGCCTATGGGGTTTGGCCATCGGGATTGGAGCTAAGGTAACATTAAGTAGCATATCTCGAGCATGGTAGTCTATCCAAACTTGCATGGCTTGGCCACTTCCAAGGCTTAATCTTTCGAACGAACCAGTGTGGTCATCATAGTAACCAGCGGTGTGGGACTTGTTGGATATCAAGGTGTTGATATCGATCCCGACATGATTGTTGTCGATGTCTTGGAAATCGGGACTAAGGATTGTGTCAAGCTCAATCGCAAGGACATGATTGCTTGAGCTGTAAGCCTTGCTGCTCTGGTTGAAAAGGCCTAAGAACTGACTTCCTAAGGCTTTGGAGAAGTCCTTGGTGTGTGCAATCACGAAGGCCATGCCATGGCCACTAAGACCTGGGTAGTCTGAGATGAATCCGAAAGCAAAGGTGGTGGAGAAGGAGATGACTGTACCATTAGACATGTCTCTGAAGCGAAGTGGGGATGGGTGGAAGGCGTGGCCTTTCGTCTCCATTGACGCGTCGGTGACCATCAGAAGACCAGTGGAAGTGATCGATGCGACCCCGTCGAGAGTAAGATTAGCTCCTCCGAATCCATTGAAGATGAAATCATCACCATCATCACTTCCACTGGAAGAGGCTGCAAGACTCGATCTCCTGTGGAGGAGGAGGAAGAGGAGAAGGCAGACCAAAGCCTTGAGGAACATTGGAGTCTTGCAGGATTCAGAACAATTTCACAGGATAAAGTAGATTTCGACTCTGTTGCACTCCAGTGAGTGATATATTTTTAATGAACAGAGAAGAGCGAAGAGAGATGTTGGCTTTGGTGTCTGTGGTTTGCATATATAGCAGCATGCAGCAATTCAAGATCAATACTTTGGGGTGCTTATTACCTGTTATCACAATTTCTCATCACCACAACTTCTTGACATCGATAGATTCAAGGTTACATTTCCAGCTTGACTAATCTCTCCTCCTGTGTAACTCTCGAACCTTTCATATCACATCGATTAGTGTTAGAATTGATCATTCATCTATGTCACCGGGTTCATTTGATCTGCCTCACTTCCTGAAGGTATCCGATGAAGTCACTTCGAGTTCAAGTTAGTAAGAGGTTTATTCTGCGAGGTGAAAGTACAGTTTTTGATCTCGAACTATACCTAAGAGCCTTGTTTATTTGTTTAGAATGTTCATTTTTTTTTGCATCCAGGACTTAATAAGTCGGGCAATGTCTTCTATTACCATTACTCTGACACAGACAAAATTGACTGGTTTGACTAATATCATACCATGTGTTTCTTCTTTCACCAAAAGTGTGACAAACGGGCAAGATTTATTATTAGAAACAACAAGAGGTTCATATTCTTCCTAAATACTTTTCTTACCTTTGAGTTCCTTCATGGAAAGGGCAAGAGACTTGGAATTGAATGCGATGACTTTAAGTGTTTCTTGATAAACCCTCCACGGGGAACACATCAGAGAAAAAAGATCAGAAAAATGACATGATAAAACAAATAACTTGTCGCACTCTCTCCTTAACTTTCTCAAGCCATTGATGAGAAGATAGAGGGAAGTCTTGAGAGATGTGGAACCTGTCTTTGATTAATTTATGGATAGCAGACGAACCTCGTTTGCAGATTGTCGTCTTTCAAATCGAGTTCTATATGAAGTCAGGCGTATCAACAGCTGTGAGTTCCATGCCTTTCCATTAAATACATGACTCGATTGAGGTTTTCGTTTTGTTCTACACTAAGTTACAAATTGCATGAATCATAGATCACGACAACAACACCTCTAAGATGAGCCAAGTCGGATTCCAACTCCAGTTTCTGCAGGAGGTTAGACATGAGAAGAATCTACAGGCACGGCACAGCATTTGCAATCTACACACACACAGCCATGTCCTCCTCTGTCATCGACCCCGGAGATAACCGATGCAGAAGCCACCGACGAAGTATACGACGTGATATGGTCATCGGCACCTTCGTTGTGAACCTGCACAAAAGCGCTGAAGCTGAGGTACGTGGGCGAGAGTTCGGCGAGCGGTGCATGGCCCTCCAAGTAGCGCACGACTTGGCGCATGCTCGGCCTTGCTGTGGGAAGTGGATGCGAGCACAGTAATCCAAGCTTCAACACCAGCTCCACCTCCTCCACCGCGTAGTCTTCCCCCAGCCTTGGATCCCTCGTCGCCAGTATCGTCCCCTCCCTCCAGTTCTCCAACACCCAATCCGATAGAACCAACTGCTCCGCCGCCATCCGCTCCACCGGCCTCCTGCCGCAAGCAACCTCCAGAAGGAATGCCCCGAACGCAAACACGTCGGTGACGGTGGTCGCCTTGCCGGTTCGAGCGAGCTCGGGAGCAAGATAACCGATGGTTCCGACGACGCGGGTGGTCTTTGGATCGGTTCCATGGTCATAAGCCTTGCTAGGCCGAAGTCACGCAGTCTTCCATTCAATTCGCTGTCGAGCAACACATTGCTCGCCTTGATGTCTCTGTGGACTATAACCTGCTCCCAGTCTTCATGTAGATACAGAACGCCTGATGCCACGCCTTTGATGACCCGAAACCGTGTCGCCCAATCCAGAGGAGGCTTCTCTTGGTCGTACAGAAACTTATCGAGACTGCCATTGGGCATGTAATCGTACACCAGCAGCAGCTCCTCCTTGCGTCAGCAATAGCCGAGCAGTTGAACAAGATTCCGGTGGCGGATACGACCGATATGCTGAAAACTTGGACCCGAAGCAGCTTAAGCATCGGGTCACGCAAGTTCAATTTAATATCGCCATCCTAAATCGAAATCCCTATTATAACTCCATTCCGAAAGCTCTATTCGAACCCTATGCGTCTAACAGTGATGATCGTGGACTTTTTACTTGAACAACTGTAACTTATTGATAGAGTGGAAGTGTATGCAAATAGTTCCTTTATTACTATTGTTCATTGCAGATAGCTGTGTCGGGTGAGAAAGTTCAAATATGTTCAGATAGCTTCGTCACGCAGATCATCACCACCATTCAAAGCTTTGTCTGCAGATTACCAAGTGAAATAAGACCCAAAGATTTATTTGACCTCTGCAATAGAAATGAGATTTATGATCCAGTTCTCTCTTATCGGAATTGAGTCGAATTAAATGAGGTTTATAAGTTGAATGATGTAGGTTTACCAGCTTTAATCAATGTGATGAAATAGAAGAAGATTTTAAGTATGTTTTTTTGCTGGGTATTTCACAGAGTACCTAAATCTAGTCATCTTGGACTGGTTGAAACCTTCAACTTCTTTGCGCTTATATATCAGTGGGGGATATTATCTGGTCTTCTGTGTGCTTACTTTCATATGTGGTCTGTGAGACACCAAAGCCAACAGCTCTCTCCTCCTCTGTCAATCCAAAACTAGCATGAAGAAGCTCTGCAACTTGTCGGTAGTGTTTCTTAGGACTTTGGTCTGCCTCTTCCTCCTCTTCCACCTAAAGCTTCCAGCCTCTAGCAGTGGAAATGATAGCTTCACCTTCAACGGATTCGGCCGCCTCAATCTTACCTTCGATGGGGTGGCCAACGTCACCTCCGATGGTCTGCTGATGCTCACCAACATGTCAACGCAGTCGAAGGGCCACGCCTTCTACCCAACCCCGCTTCGTTTCCGGAACCTGACGAACGGTACAATCTTCTCCTTCTCCACCACTTTTGTCTTCGGCTTCATCTCAGCATACACCAACCATAGCGGGAGCGGGATGGCTTTCTTCGTTTCTCCCACCGAGGACTTCTCTGCAGCCTTTGGTAGTCAGTACTTGGGCCTCTTCAACCAAAGCAGCGTCGGTAACTCGAACGATCATGTCCTCGCGATTGAGATCGACACGATCTATAACCCCGAGTTTCTGGATATTGATGACAACCATGTCGGGATCGATATCAACAGCCTGATATCCAACGCATCCCACGCTGCTGGTTATTACTCTAACGACACTGGATTGTTCAGATATCTAAGCCTTCGAAGTGAACAAGCTATGCAAGTTTGGATAGACTATGACGGACATGAGATGCAGCTAAACGTGACCATGGCTCCAATCCGAATGGCCAAGCCGCATAAACCTCTGTTGTCTGCCACCATTGATCTCTCAAGCGTATTGTTATCAGATCCCATGTATGTTGGATTCTCCTCCTCCACTGGTTCTTTCAAAACATCTCATTGTGTTCTTGGTTGGAGCTTTAGGATGAATGGGGTAGCTGAACCTCTCGACTACTCCTTGCTGCCATCGCTTCCTCTGGCAAAGTTAAATGGCAAGTCAAAGGTTTTGGACATCGTGCTGCCCTTGGCGTCGGCGGGACTTGCTGTGATCATCGCAGGGATCATCGTGTTATT